CTGATTATAGTCGCATATGGTCGATAGCTGCACCACCCCACATCAGAAATTGATGCCATATGCGAAGATAATCAGCTGTTCTAATCCTCCTCATTTCACGTAGGCGTTTGGCCTAATAAATTGTATATCAGTATACCCTCCGAGGTGAGGAAGGCGATACTGCCGAAACGTTAGCTACTGTTCTATTTTATTTTGTGTTTTTCTATGAAAGTAAATGTGTGCTGTATAACAACCTCGCGATTGCTGAAAATGAAAACGACGCATTCATATATAATGCCGAGGTTAATAGAAAGTTGACTCTGGGAACTGTTACAAAAAGATAAGATGAACCCCTTACTGTTGATGAAGACTTGGTTGCTCACCGCATGTGCACTACTAGTTCCTTTTACAAGAAGAAAAGAAGAAATTTCAACCAACAGTATTCCTGAAGAAAAAAACCTAATGAGATGGCTGCGTTCGTGTTTCGGTCCTCTATTCACCCGATCCTGTGTTCAGTTTTATCGGCGGCTTCCAATTTGGCGTTGATGCTCTTAGCGAGCAATTTTCAGGATTTTTCGCTACGGATTACTTTCAAGAACCGATAATTCGCTCTCATCAAATGCACAGGTTGGAGAACAGCAGTTGGTGGTAGCATCACTTGGTGATAATGCGATTCTTTTCAAGGCAGATTTTAAACACCGAAGAAATTTCATTTTTCCTTCAGTATTAAACAAATCGTAGCAATCGGCACTTGACAATCAACTCTGGTACTTCAGACGACAGGGCATGAAGTGGTCTGCACCGCAGACTGCTTTTAACCGGCTCCATTGACGACTATAAAACACAAGATTTGATCGAGTGTTAAGCTAGTTCTCCTTTTCTTTCTCGAATGCCGAATATTTGTCACCACATTCCCATATCATCGCCTCGCTTGCTGGCGAAACATGCAGATCAAATTGTTTTATGCCGATCTGCAAGAGGCTTACTAAACAAGGCCACATCGACTTCTTTTTACCTTGTCAAGGTAAAGAAGCTCCAGCATATTTTCCATGTGATCGTATTTTTTCAGTTAAACAAAGGAATATTTGAGAAAAAGTGGCACCTCAACGCTTTCTGTTTGTAGTAATAGGTAGGCGTTGCCTTTCGAAATCAGAGAAAAGTTTCAGTCTTGCGCTTACGTTTCTACCATCAACTCCTACCACTATTTCGAAATCTTTTCTTTGTCAATTAATAAAAAGTAATCGTTCTACCGTGGCGTCTCTTCCTGGAGGTCCTGGAGGACCAGCAGGCCCCGGCTCTCCATCTGCACCAGCGGCTCCTTGGAATCCAGCAATTCCTTAAAAGTAATAGGATATGGCTTCAAATATTTCTGCAGAAACTAGGAAACTACGATGTAAACCATAACAGAAAAACTTTCGCCTGTACAAAGCTAACCTTGCATTCCTTGCTGGCCAACAGGTCCCACATAGACATTTCTTCCGGGATTTCCTCGTGGACCCTGTGCACCGGGTTCACCAGCTGGACCTTTTCGTCCCTTAAGCCTAGCATTTTTTCTTCAAACATTCTGTGATATTTCGATCTTTTCTGTGATATGTTAAACTATAGCAAATAGGTAGTTTTCAAGATATCTTTATCTTTAAGTGGTTGCCAAAGCAAATAACAAAAAGATCGGTGACAATTAGGAATGGCTGTGAACCTTCGAGGAAGGTTTATCGCCATGCAAAGCGGAGGTAGCGCACATAATAGTGGAACAACGATGGAAGGCTCCATGCAAGAAATTGAAACAAGCTTGAAAGAAAAATCCTTTCAAGAATTTTGAAAAAACGAGAAAAAGAAAAATATGACAGTGGACTTTTCACATATTTCTCTACGGAACAACTGAACGTTTTGAATGCAAAACCGAACTACTTGTAAAACATGCGCCGCAATACTTCTAATATCAAATTTAAGTAATGTTCAGAGCTTGTTGTACAACGTCCAAATCGCCATAACGAACACTATGAATCATATGTGATTCATGTTGTCCGCTGTAGCCTCTGAACAAACGACCTTGCCCCTTTTGCCGCATTTTTCACGATGGTGACTTTTTACGGGAAGTTGTTAGTAATTTCTCCGTGTACTACATGCAATTTAAGTCCTACTAGAAGCCTTTCATTGTTTTGCAACCTTCTCAACGTGCAATAGATGAAACCCGCCCACTATCAAATGACGATGCTGTCGGCCTTTGTTAGTCGGTTTCACAGCATGCGCGGAGCTCGTTTCAACATTCTTGTATACTTTATATAACAGGCCATTCTATATATTGACAATTACAACTTGTCTTAATAACGATAAAGTAAGGAACAATCAAAGTCTGTCAAAATTAAAGCTTTTTGTGCTTAAATCATGCTGGTGAAAGACAAATTGAACTTCATTGCCAAAAAACTCCTCATTATAAGTAGACAAAAAGACACCAAGGATCGGTGAAGTGGGTAGATGAAGAATCTCTATTGCGTTACATCGATGAATGTGACAAAAATGGATCAGACTATGAGGCATGTCGATGATAGAGTAGGCAGTGATTACAAAAGTAGTGTAATGCATAGTCACTAAAACTACACTGAAATGCATTTTGGTGCTGACGGGCAACTTCGGTTTGAGTAAGAAGAACCGACGCTTGAATAAGTAGAACCGACAGAACTGGAACCTTATAGTAATGGAGACCACCGATTATGGTCAAGAAAAGCACCAGTTGAACGAAGAACTTGAGATGGAAAAATTTAATCGTTTCAATTTGAAAGAGTTAGATTGTCATAGTTAAGAGATTATTGGCATGCGACCTGTGTAACGGAAAGGTGCTATTTAGGCTAATGTCGTGTCAAGGTACAGATTCGAAAGGCTTTAAGCCGTCTTCATTCAGCCACAAACAATTATGGAAGCTTGTCGACCTCATTAAGGGAAAATCTGAAGCAGTCTACAATCTAAAACAAGCCCAGCAAATACGTCAGCGTCAGCCACCCCTACCCTCCACCCACTGCGCAGTTAAAAGGAGAAGTGGAATTCCACTAACGTATACCATTCAAAAGCAAAAGCATGGTACTAAGCAGCTCAAATTGTGCACAGGAAGTGGGTAGATAGATTAAATCCGTCTGTTACTTTACAGAAGTCACAATTTAGCTCAATAAGTCCTCTCGGTATTAACAAATGGTTTGCCTGATTAAGGAAGCAAATGTGGAGCAATAACTGCTTTTCACCACTTCGCTAAGGAGAAAAAGAAAATCTTCCAAAGCAGGTCATCAGGCAGAAGTTGAGGACACTAAAAAAGTGGTGCTTAAACGGAAACGCAAAACTGCTTTTAATTTCTGTTTTATCACTAATCACTTTAACACGTCTTGTGAACATATGGAAATCTAGGCAAAAGATCAGGATGAACGACCTTAAGGTACTAGTGCACTTGAGTTTTTACCAAATTATTGACGTTGCACTCTCTCAAGAGTCAATCGTAGTGGAGCGTGAAAGGGATGATAACAAATCGAAGTCACCGCACCGAGAAACAGCCGACTTGATACGCTAGCGTAAAATTTCACCGCCGTAATTAACAGCCAACTCATGCCGGAACTTGAAAAACTCTGAGGAAAGATGATGAAAGAAAAAAGCAGCAGTAGCAGTAGTGCATGAAGATGCAAAGGCTGAAAAGAGCATTCACAATGCCCGTCGAGATAGCCGCATAAGAGAACATAATGGCATTCTAGAATAAGACTGCTTTCAAAAAGCAATCGAACAAATCATTGACGATTTGCACTCTGATCTCTTCAGCAGGTGTACGTCCTCCTTTCTCCATGAAATCAGGAAGAATGGATAATGTCCTAGCGATTTTCCCATTCGACATTTAACGTGTTATTTTATAGATGAAGAAGCGCTCGATGTAGGTTCGTTCCTTTATACTTTCCTACAGTTCCCAAATATAGCCGAACTGGAGTCTTTGTAGCCTACCATAAATAGTAATGATCCTTTGTCGATTTGAGAAACAACTGTTATTTTGCGTATTCGATTCTTCACGGATGACAACTATTTCACAAAAAGTCGACAACTCATCAGTACAAAAGGAATACAAGGGGTGAAATCCTGCACAACAGAGAGGGATCATATTTTACAAGAAACAGCGTTTCACAGAATGACTGAAGCGATGTGAAGTACCAATAGACTTCTGCAAAGCGAGTCCTTTGTCAGACGGAGATATTCGCTGCCATTTGGAGATCAGCGCTTGGAAGCACTTACCAAAGCAAAACTCCAATCATTGCAAGATTTGAACGAAGAATAAACATTGCTGTTAGAAACGGTATGGGCTCCTTGTGCTGGCCCTTCTTCGTTCGTCATTTTCTACAAGAACTTATTATTCTCCATTACGACGCCTAGACGCATGTCCATCAAAAATCTGAGAAAACCGAATGAATCGGACAACAAAATTTGTCTAACGTACCATTCCAATCTGCGAGCGAAGCCATCTAACTGTAAGCGACTTTAATGTATATGAAGATCCTCGTATAAGAGATAATTTTCAACGAGCACGCATCAGTTCAAAGCGCCTTCTTTTAAAAAGACTAATCAGACCTGGGCGCAAAAATTTTTCGACTGGATACTATGCTAGCTTTAATAAATTAATCAAGTACTTCTATATACTTGTTTCCAGGCTCTAACTTTTTGTTTAATTGAACGAAATTGTTGTCTCAACCTTCTAAATAGTATGGAATCATAGAATTTTGATTTCCCACCCTTCTGCTAATTTGTTGTTCGCTATCTTCACCCTTTCGTCCATTCCTTCCTTGCTTTCCGTCAGGTCCATGAGGACCAGGTAAGCCTTGTGGTCCAGGCATTCCCGGATTACCGTCGCGACCAGGTAGACCTGGTGCACCTTTCGCACCGCGAATTCCTCGCTTACCCATTGGTCCTGTCTTTCCCTCCACTCCCGGCGGACCTAAAAGAAGTTTCCTTTTCATTTTGCTTAATGTCACAATTTTCGGCTATTATTAATTAGTTACCTTGGGGGCAGTAAATGCACCCAACAAAGTCACTGTTTTTCATAAAGTTAACGTTGTCCATCCCATCAAGTCCGTCCACACCAGGGAGGCCATCTGGGGCGTCATAACCTTAATTGTTTAAAAAATTCTCATTTGTAGACCACTAAAAAGTTGTACGCAAACCTTTGCTTTCAAGAAAAAAATGCGAATTGTATCAAGAATTCCTTCTACTTTTCTAAACGGAATGCGCTATCGATTGTTGACCTTATGTCATTTAAGGGTCGACTGACCCACATTCAACTACTGTTCACGTGGAACCGTTTCCCACTTCGGTCTTGAAGGGTCGGACTTCAATATTTGCCTCTACCACCTAGATCTGCACTGAGGGAAGCTCCAGCTAGGCCTATGCCTAAAGCCTTTATCGCAACCGTCACGACCTTCCTATTCGTTCTTGCGAAGCGTATGTGTATTACACACGCACACACCACACACACACACACATACACACACACACACATACACATACACACACACACACACACACACATACACACACATGGCAGCAGCGGTTGGGTATACGTCTTTCGTTCAAACACCATCCATTTTCAGAGTTAGTTGATTCTCATCACCACCCGTGGCTCACCGAGCCTTCCATCTCTTCGTGGTCGGCAATTTACAATTGTCGTTGTTCCTAGACAAAGTTTAGTGGTTTTATATCTCCATATAATAATATTTAGACAAATTTAGATCACATATTTCAATCTACATCTTTTGCCAACGTTTCAGTTAGCAAAAAAAATTCGAAGTGTTCGGGAAATTTGAAGAAAATCGCAGTACATAAGAAAAAAATGGATCGAAATGTTATGCGGTTCAAGATGGAGTCCCTGATTCTAATATATAAAATGTATTTAGGCTAGCATTTTTGATTTTCTTCTTCTTTTCCCTTCTTTTCCTTTTATGTAGTATAAGCTAAACAATCTAAACGAATGCCTTGATTGTTCACGCCGAGGCAATGAAAGTTGGTTTAGTAAAGTAACATTCTTGATTTTTTGTTGGAATCAGCTCACTGGAATACAGCAAGAAATGGTGGTGTTTCGAAGTAGCTTCTTTGCGCGATTTCAAAATTGAACCTAAAACTGCACAAAACCAACTTTCACACTTAGTTGCACTTAGACCGAGACTCGCTAAGCTACTTTGTCATTTACCGGACGCAAATGAAGGTAGACAGGGAGGATCGGAAAAGACATATCACCAATTACGAACCGTTTCCTCATCAATGCCATTAAATATGGCGCACTTTTAGACAAAGTCACCGAGAACTGTAACGCCTGCGAGCGAAATAAATAACTCGAAGGAGATCTGTTCTGCTCCACGACAGTGAGCGTCTAATGTTCCGCATATCTTCAATAATGGTGGTAAAAAAGCTGAATAAGTTGCTTTACGAACTATGCATTGTCGGCTGTACTTTAAAATTCTATCAACTTCAAATGCCTGAAGGACTTCATTCTCCAGAAAATATTTGTCAACCAAGGGATAGCTAAAAGCTCTTACATTGTTGACTTCATAAAACTGACATTCTAGGCCAAGAAATGGGTAGGATTCCAAAGAATACAACATGTGAAGGATCTACTGGATACAAGGAGATAGCATTCTTCACTGATCGAACCCTTAGAGACGCTCGATGTATTTCACGTTATGAACCATTCAAGCGGTGAACAAATGCAGTTTGGTTAATATAGTTGCTTGCTCGGCTTATCGACGCCTCATTCTAGTGTTGTCACGTTCTCCCAGGCTAATCTGTTATCAACATGCCAGCCTAGGAGAGATGGAAGGCTCCATGAATTCTGCGCATGAGCGAGCCAGCGATCGACTTAATGTTCACTACATGGTACCTCTTACCGCTGCGCCACACTCACCCTTTTGAGAATTTGTATTTTTTTTAGAGCTAATAATACTTAGTTTAGGAAAGATGCCGAAAAGATTGTCTTAGAAATCTTGTCATCTACTGGGCTCATAATAGAGAATCTCGTTTGTACGATTTTTATAACCGTAACGATCTTGTTTACTGGATGAATGAGTAGAGATCCATTCACAAAATACCTTCTGAAACCGTGATATTTTTTTGTAAAGTAGTCCGACAGTGATTTAAAAGACAGAAAAGTTCTTAAACAAACTTGAGTTCCATACTTACTTACTCGACTAATAGTAAAAATTAAATATAATAAAATAGATTAAAAAAACAAGTAAAAATTCGTTCCAATAAAAATTTTTCCAAGAAAAGTAAGAAAATAAAAATTTTTACCTGGTTTACCTGGCGGTCCAGGTGGTCCTGATGGGCAGCCGTTGAAGGGTGCGCATATACAATTTTGTGAGGCGCCGAGATATTTTCCTGGTTGCAGTGGTATCACCAGAAATTTCTTTCCGAGTTTTGGAGTGGAGTATTCTACGAAAGAAATCCCAAGTTTCAAAGCGTTTTCCAAAAGATGAAAGAAATATTTGCATTATAGTACAAATTCCTTCCGGATACTCTACCTTCTGAATGTTCTGTGTTCATCCCGCTTGCTCCGTAGCCACCATACTGTCGGCGTAGTCGATTAGAAGGGCTACCTACCCCAAGCATCAGCATGAACTTCCACGAATCATTTGTGAGCAACTGCAAGTACTAGGTTCTCAAGCATTTGACAAATTCGATGTTACAGGTTATCCATGAAATGACCTCACCTTAAATTTGTCGATTTCAGCATCTAACTCGGACCACATAGAGGTAATTTCTGAGTGCATATAATAGATTACTGCCAATGACAGCAGTAAAGTAACGCCTGATGTGGCTACAGCACCACAGGTAGCAATTTGAACACCCATCTGAGCGAACTACGAAAGAAGCATTCGCAAAGCGATAAAAATCCATTAGTGCACAGAAATATAACGAAATGTGGTATGAATTTCGTTTTGAAACAAGTGTGGTACCTCACCAACCAGAATTCTCGTAGTAACTACACGATTCTGTTTGAAAATATACACGGAAATTATTAAAAAAAACACTACATGACTCAACAAAATGTAATTCTTCGTATTTTTGTTGAGCAAACGCGAAGTGTTATTGTTCTCTATTCACGAATAAGCTGACGTTTCGGCGGATTTCGCCTATAACACCTCGCGTTTGCTCAACAAAAATGCGATGAATTACTTGATCAATGCCGAGGTTAATAGAAAGTCGGTCGTGGAAGTTCAACAAAATGTGTTTATTATAGAAGCCCACGAAACAGCTCAACTTTAACTTGAGTGGTACATCTTCACGAGGAATCCTGCAGACCTTGTCACACTTGCAAACTGACTGGTTTAATGGTGATTGGAAAAGGTTTTTGTTTCACATGAAACGGAGACTATGAGATATCACCACGGCTTTCGCTGCGATTCGTCGATCACTGGAAGATTTGCAGTCTTGCAATAGAGTTTTCTACAAGATGGTCACGTCTACTTACTGTTACTTCTAGATGAGATTCCAGGTACAAAGACAATTTGATGATATGCATAAGGTGAAGAACGGAATAGGAAAAAAATTAGCATACCTATTTATGGCATATTTATCAATACGAAAATCTTAAATTTACAATGCATCATTCTTGTTCTTGAAAAAAATGATAGTTTGCCATGATTACAACGGCGGCTATTATCACCAATTTCGACAGCTCAAGTGAAAAAGTTTCACCCGGAAGTGATATCTTGTAGCAGAGAGACTTTGAATATTTATGTTAAGAGCTTTATATAATGAACTATTTTATAGAACCGAAAGTGAATATGGAGAAATGAATACCTTGTGAAGAAAGAGATGAAGAGCATACGGCTACGTGTCTCTTAAAATTCCCGCCTTAACGTCCACTTTAGTAGAACCTCTCGTACGTATTTAGGAATTTCTCCGCCCCTACGCGAAATAACTTCAGGTTTAGCTTGTCCATGTTTATTCCAACAGATATGCTATAAGTAGGTGGGTTAGATTTTCTTCTGATTATATTCGTCACCTTATTCTAGTCATCAAATTGGTTTCATGTATGAGATCTCCGAACTGAGTTCGGCTTCAACATTATTGATTACTCGATCAATTTTTCATTTCTACTTTCATTTTTGCTTTCCGTTCTAACATCGACCCCGAATCAACTAGTAAAAAACTGAGCGAAGGAATCGTATTAAAAAGACACTTCCCTCAAATTCATATCATAGTGAAGACTTGAAAATGCCCTTGCAAGCGTAAGTAAGGATTCCAAGAAAGATCAACTTGCCATAAGTCAACATCGGTAGTTAGCATATTGGCTACTCCCGTCTATGACACTAGAAGATGACTACTTAAAGGCCACAAAATTTCGGGTTGCATAGGACGTCACTAGAGCCGGATCTGACGAACATACGCATGACACGCTATGCAGATTCTTTCTTACTCTGCACGTGTAGTGCTAGAACACTCTCCACAGATGCAGATCTTCATAACTTTCTTGGAGCTGTAAATCGCATAAAATTTAGTGCGATCGCACAGCAAGAGACAAAAGTCATGAAGACCGACATGCGCCAACTAAACAACGGGACCTTTGTCATCCGCGGAATAAAGGTCCCGTTACGAAATGTCGGCGGCACAAGCTTTGTCGTCCACCCGTCCATTGTCCATTTTGCTAGCTGTCGTCAACCAACGCGTCCGAAGAAGATCAGTATCACTAATTCCTTCCTATCGACCGATGAAGCTGATGAGTACACGTTAAATGCTTTCTTCCATCAGTTGGATAAAGGTATTTAAGCCACGTTACAAACGCGTTGTTGGAGAATTCAAAGCTAGAATAGAAAATACCAACGAGAGCGAATGCAGGACCGTACAATTTTGATTAGGCGAAAGAAATCAGAATGGAAACCGTCTTCCCGCATTTATGTCTGCAGCACACTTCCTTCAAGGAGACCTGCTTTTCCGGGAGAAATAAAGCTGCCTCTGTAACTGGGAGTCTCCTATTGGCACAACCCATGCGGAGATGGACCATATTTTGACAAAAAAAAAGAACATAGTACCTAGTTGACACATCGGTAGTCCCATCATTCTGCATTGCGTCTGATCACCACCTTTTCGTGCCAAGATTAGATTCAGCTGAAAGTTGGAAAAGAAGTCATGTCGTCGACCACGAAGAAATTGCCTATCTCTATATGAAATATATAAAATATTCCGAGCGAAATGCTATCCACACCTGGCCAGCAGATTAAGGGAGACCCGACCGAAAATTGTGAGTTGCTTATCAGAAAGCTTAAAAGTTGTACCAAATTCGCCTCAGTTCCTCAAACAGAAAGATAGATCGCACGTAAACTAACAAAAAGAACTTTGGTTAGTAGTAAGTGCCAGTTGCAGAAGAGCCTTCCAATAAGATTTATATCGGTAAAGGCAGAAGAAATTGTTAGAAGTGGCACAAAAAATAACCAGCCCGAAGAAATGCCTTCTAGACTTGAGCGACGGTAATGTTCCGCTGACAAACCCGGTGAAAGAAGTTGGGACCGGGCTAAAAAATTTCGCCATGGTTTGCAACTGACAATAACAATAACGGAAAATCCCCAAAACAATCTGTTCTGCTCCATAGTCTCGTTCCAGGACTCTATAATCCCCGATTGTGGAAAACCACCTAAAATCTTCTCTTTGAGATTTGAGCTGCGACAGAAAGCGTAAAAGCAGCCGCAACTCCAGGACCCAGAATAATATCATCGCCCACTTCCTCAGAGCCAGAAGCCACAACTAGATGGACTTCTCGCAAACCATATAACAGTCCGTCTTCAAAAAGAAAAAATCCAGTGAAGGACCTCGCGCTAGGTCATCTAACTCAACGAAGGTGATCGAAGAGATCCTCGTAACTATCGCTCAATATGCTCGTTGAGTGTATTCTACAAGCTCTTCACAAATATTATCCTATCGCGTATATCAGATACTTTGAGTAAAACACAAGTAGTTGAGTAAGCAGGATTCCGACGGAGATTCTACCGCATATATCAAATCCAGACCGCATGAAAGAAGTCATAGACGGGTCATTGCACTCCATCAGGAATACCACTTATCCCTTCTCCTAGCCTTAATGCACAACGGGAAAGTATCTGACAGGGTCGAAACGACTGCAATCCTATAAGCGCTCGTCAACCTAGGAATGGGTCCAACCTATATATAATTCGATCAATAGCTTGCTATCATCGTAACTACGTCACGAAAATATAGCTCTTCCATCGACTTCATACCATACTCATGAGAAAAGGGGTTGACAGGGGAATTGAGACGAAAATGGCATATGTATTGATAGAAAATTCCTAGCAAATCTTCGTTTCACTTACGACAACATCGTCTTCCTAAGAGATACTAACGAAGCAGAGATGATGCTAAGCGAGCTCTACGAAGCGGAAAAAACCGATTGGACAGTGCATGAATATGAAATATCCAGTTCATAAAGAAGCCGTTCTGTGAAGGTGAACAGGCCAAAGCGAATGGTTCTTTAAATACAGAGACCACCTCGTACGTGCACCTTAGGCGCTCAATGAAATTGAAGTAAATGAAGGACGAATTGAATAAAAGAAGAGCAACAGCGGCTGGGCTTCTCAGAGAGAACACCGACTAGTTAAAGGGCATAATCTTTACGCTCTGTTATGCAGCATAGGCGGGGCTAATATCTCAACCACGTCAAGAATACTACGCACTACTCACAGATCGCTTGAATGAGGTCTTCTGAAATATAATCGGCACACACGATATACAGCCGAAATGTGAAGCTCTGATCTTCGAAGTCCATGTCGCTGTGAAGAATAAGCAGTGGATAAAAGTTAAAACATTGTGTCCTAGGGACATTTCTTCCTTTGTTATCAAGGCGATGGCATTTTGGTTCCATTGGTGAACAGACACACGTTACCTTTTGTAACATTGACCAATTCTTCTCTTTTGAATCTCATCACGTAGCGAGAAAGACCAACAGCGTCCTTCCTTGGCCTACTAATCATAACTCCTTATTGTATACGAACCTTAACCCTCTCATAGAAATGCAGACAGCCATTTCAAACATTGTACAAAGCCTCTATCTTGTTGTGGAACTCTTTTCTTTCATTGCTGCTGCGCCCCAATGCTTTCTTCGTACTCATATTGTAATGGACTAATTCTCATATTTTACTACATGTTCACACAATAAATTCACTTTTACAACATCTGTTATTTCCAACTTATAGTGAAAATCGTGAAATAAAGAAGAGATTTGCTATAAACGGTGTGACCAGAATCACCGTGAATCGCGTGACGCCACTTGTACTCGGATAGGGCGGAGAAAGTCGCAGGCTATCAGGTGACGCTCCCCTGTCCAGTGGTTATAGATGGGATGGATGTAGGGCAAGCATGCAGTCCTAATGTCTAACAATTTAAAATACACAGGATTACAAAATAAGAGTAAATAGTTCTAGGAGAAATAAATAATCATTATAATAGAAATCTTAGATGAAAGTTGGAGATCATTTCACTAGGAATGTTCTCTATACATCCGATATTCGGGCAAACACCTCCATAACCAAGCAAAGAAAACGCTAAACCAAGGTTTCAATCACATTGAACACAGCTTTACACACTCACCACTTTCTATGAGTCTTCCACTGAGTATGTCACGTGGAGACCAACGGCACAGAATTCACATGAAGCGTAATGTGCCCCTCCCATCAGAATAACAGGCTTACATACTGCCCAATATCACGTGTGATAATGAGGCATTCTTCCCTGCGGTTCATTTTCGGATTTCTGGAATTAATCCAGAACGCCTCGAGAGTTTTGCGCGCTTGTGTTCTCGATTCATGTGCGAGGATCGTGACACGTACTTCAAAGTCCC